TTTTTTTCTTTTCTACAAGAACGTTGTAATCGGAAAGTGGTAGTAGGCAAGTAGTGGAACCCCAAGGTTACCACATAACGTATTCTCTTACAAGAGTGTAGTATTCGGATAAAAAAAGAAAAGAAAAGAAAAGAAATGAAAAGAAAAGAAAGGAAAAGGGTGGAGAAGAAGGTGGAGGATGGGGGTGGGAAGGAGGGATGGGGGGTGAAAAAAAAGAAAAAAAAAAGGAGCTTAAGCGCGAGTTTTGTCCCGATTTCATTCTGCCGTTTCGTTGGAGCTTGAATTGCACATATTAGGTAAGTGTCGCCCTGTATAACTCTACCAGCGACTCTCTGTCGTGTTCCGGAAAAAAATTTCTGGTATATATTTTGACCTACAGAAGAAAAAAGAAGAAATAGAAGAAGAGGAAGAATAAGAATAAGAATAAGAATAAGAGGAAGAAGAAGAAGAAGAAGAATGTTCTCAGGAGACGACTACTATGACTATAACTATGACTATAACTATGACTATGACGTTCCAAGAACGTGATTTCGAGATTCTAAGATTCTCCAGAATTACACGTCAACCATTTAAGAATTTTTGACTACTTTATATTTTGATTTTATTTTTATTTTTATTTTTCTGTTCACGACAAAAACCAACGTGCAAATTTTGATCGTTAAATGAACTTTATGGTAGATACACACATATATATATATATATACAGACACACCATGGAAATTTGAAAGCCAATAATTAAATTATTTGCATGTTACGAATGAATTTAATAAAAATTCTTTATAATTTAATCGTTGAATCGTTTAAAAAGTTATATTTCTTATTGACATAGTTTAAAGTCAAATTTCCGCATACGTATTATTGAAATGTTATTTATCGAATTTTTAACACATTTCTCCGTTTGATATTTCATAAAGTTGCATTCATACATACATATATAAATACCTATACATATATATATATATATATGTATATACATATATGTACATACTTGTACGTACATTTCCTATGATTTGATTTAAAACATTTTATTTCCATTATATCGTAGCCGTAAATAGAAATGGGCGTAGTTTCATCCCTTAAAATATATACGAACGTTTATCAATCGTTGCTGGTAGTGCTGAGGGAGGTTATTGGGATGGGGTGGGGAAGAAAAAGTAGAGAAAAATATTAAAATGTTCCTTTTATCGACTGAGAAGAGTAAAAAAGACGATTAGACTCTTATCGCGAATGTGTTTTTGTGTGTATGTGTGTATGAGTGTACAATAAACGAAAAAAACGAAATATACTCGAAATAACGAGAAACAAAGATAATTATAAGAACACGTTTAAGTAGAAAAAAAAAAAAGAAAAGAAAAGAAAAATGAATTTGATTCGATCAAAGAGTTTACTTCTACCCCTTTGCACGCACGCACGCATACTTTATCAATCGTGCAAATTTTCAGTTAGGCGTTAGGATGTTTGATTGAACACGAAGGACGCACGCATCATTGGATAAAATCGATGAACAATAATCGTCGTTCGTGCAACTACGACGATTTCTATACGACAGAGGAGGAAGCATTTGCGTGCGGTTTAACGCATTGTGACAGTTGACAAGGCTCAAACCGCACAATTAATTTAATACCTGATGTCTACAGTTCAACATTATGAATAATAAACGAGATTTTTTTTTCTTTTGTTTTCTTTTTTTTTACAATTTTTCAGTGACACACAGGCGGCATATAACATATATGCACGCACACACGAAAGGATATCTATGTATTTTCTTTTTGTTAATGTTAATTGTGTAATTAAATGTTATCTTATGTCCATTATCAGAGAATATTTAATATTTATATAATATTAATTATTCAATATAATTATTTTTTTAGATAAAAGAAAATGGAAGTATATATTTTACGTTCTAGTAAAAATTGTTAACGATTTTAGTTTTTATCGACGATTAACTCGTGCATACTGGGTGGAAATTTACGATCAGGAAAAATCGTAAAAATACTATACGATTTATTAGCCTGATTGATTTATGATACGAAAAGATATACGTGTACTTATTTTTCTTTACGGGATTCTCTTTAAGCTACTCGTCTCTTTATATATATATATATCACGAAAGTGCACCCGTTTAAGAACAATACGTGTGTGTGTGTGTGTATGTCGGTCCTTTACGATTGAAACGTTTAAGGTTTAATAAAATACAAGTCCCTTTTAATGTCACTCAAGGATACGTGTATAAAATAAGAGTATATGTCGTAGGTAATGGGGAAAGATAAGAAAATCTTAAAAGAAAACGTGGAAAAATCAGTGAACAGACGTTTTTTTGGCAATGATTTGGAAACGAATGATTGATCGGAAATTAAACGATAATTAAAATGATTAATCTTCGACGAGAGGAGAATAGTGAAAGGGTAGTATAAAATAAAAAAGAAACAACAAAATTGTTTTCCCGTAAGAATTGTCAGTGAATGGTGTATGACAACGAAGGAAGTAAAGGAAGGTAGGAAGAAAAAGTGAAAAAAAAAAGTTTGCAATAAATCTAAGAGTTTGCGTGCGAGGGTATATTAATCGTCACGAGAATAAGGGTAGTGGATGTTGGGAAAAACGTGATGCAAGAGCCGCGAGCTTTACGAGTTAACGTATCCAAGATACCATCGAGGGTGTCTGACATGTCTCGAGGCAGGCAGGCAGGCAGGCAGCTACGACGAGTTGTTGCGAGCTACGTTTTCAAACTCGATATCACCACCACTTGCTCGTAACGATCTTCAACGAGAAACTTCGAAAAATGACACAAATGGGTCATCGTGTTGAAGGGGAAAAAAAAAAAAAAAGAAAGAAAGAAAAAACGATGAAGGTAGAAAGGATTAGCACCAACTTAGTTAGGCTTGAATTTTAAATATACGATAAGAAGATTAAAAAATCCAAATTTGGATAATAGAATTGAATATAATCTTTTGATTATTTCAATTTTTTCTAGTTAACTTAATTGAGATATTATTATTAAATAAATATGAAATAATATGGAAATATATGACTCTGAACATTAACGATCGAGTTGCTGAAAAAGTTGGGCCTGATGTAGGAACGAAACGTTCAATAAAATCGAAATTAACGTTCTATATTTTTAACCTGTTCAATGTCCCTGTGATACATTTATTAATCATTTTATTTTTGGACGACGATAAACAACTAATTATCATCAAAGTGTTTGACATGTAATCTTTAATTGGTTAGGATAGAATTTTAATATGATAAGAAGATTAGGCAATACAAATTTGAGAATAATATTATGAATAATTTCAATCATATTAATAATTAAAGTATTTTCATAATAGTAATTCGGTTAAGCGCATATACAAAAAGAAATAAATATAATTATTGTTTGAATTTAATGAAATATTTTAATTTTTTCGATTATTGAAATGTTCACATAAATTCCATCCCTATCGAAAATACATCCTAAACTGAATTTCTATCGTATGATACGATCGGGGTTCATCTTAAAATCAGTCATAATCAAAGGGTTAATATGAGAAAAGAAATAAAGATTATAGGATAATCGTTTAAATTATAATTATTTATGTTGTTACGAGTTAACGTATTCAAGATACCATCGAGGGTGTCTGACATGTCTCGAGACAGCTACTACGAGTTGTTGCAAGCTACATTTTCAAACACGAAATCATCACTTGCTCGCACCGATCTTCAACGAGAAATTTAGAAACGTTAAAGTGTCATCGTTGTGCAAAAGAGAAAAAAAGATTCCAACCGATTAGGCTACAATATTCGAATACGAGAAGAAGACAAAGTAATACAGAGAGATTGGAATGATCTTATGATTACGATCTCTCTGTATTAAAAAGGTAAAAAATAAAAAGTAGGAATGAATAAACGAATGAATGAAAACATGAACCGATTGCAAGTTTCGTTTCGGGAATGTGCAAACGTCAGAGGATTTGTGATATACATCTAAAGGATTTAATAATAAATGTGTGACACAAGAGAGTATATAAAATAAACATTATAATGCAAGAGCAAACAAAATAATTAAGTTCAAATGCAATAAAAAAAAAAAAAAAGAAACAAAGGAAAAGATATAAAGATAAAAAGAGATAGAGATAGAGATAGATTTAGACTTTACCTCGCTTGGACGTGGTGTCGGCGGTGCTAATAAATCCATGTACGGCAATCACGAGAACAAAGAGTCCACAGTGTAGCCAAAACATGTTTACGTCTTAACAACATTGTTTAATTCCATTTTACATGACGCTCGTGAAACACTACGATGACGGCGCTGCTTCCGATTTTGCTCATGTCGCGCATAATAATTTCAGCGATACTACCTGGTCGCCGGTCGGATCATGAGTATAACACCCGATCTGTGTGCTGCGGTAGAGTACCGTGCACGGCTCTCTGGCGGGTGCGATTGCTAGACCAGAGAGAGAGAGAGAGAGAGAGAGAAAGAGAGAAAGAACGTGAGAGAGAGAGAGAGAGAGAGAGAGAGAGAGAGTCGTGCAACCGCGAGACTGACAGACAGAGATAGAAAGAGACCTTGCTTACTGAGATGAAGAAGAAAAACGGCTAGAGAAAGAGAGAGAGTGAGGAGTAAGATATATATATATATATATATATATATAGGTATATGTGTATGTGCAGTATAATATAGTATACGTATAAATCTATATATGTTTAAGAGAATAAAAGAAAGAAAATAGATTGGGTGAGGATGAAAGACAAAGACAGATAGATAGATAGATAGATGAATAGATGACAGATAGACAGAGAGAGAGAAATAGAGAGGGGGAGAGGGAAGGCCCGCGCTTTATCCGATAACAACCGGCACGACGACGACGATGACGACGACAACGGTGTGTGTGTGTGTGTGGTATAAAACGTTGACAACGACGGGGTCCTCTTTTAGGACATTTTCTCGATGAAGCTGGGGTACACTGGACACGCGATAAAGCACCACGCTAGCGTACTACTTCCGCGGACGTCCGCTCGGCGTTATAGGAGACGAAAAGATAAGCACCCCCTACTAACGCGCGCGGGGCCAGAGAGAGAGAGAGAAGAAGTGTCCTCCTGGTCTTGAATCACGCCTCGGCTGCCATCTTCTACCTACGCTGGGAGTCTGGAGTATGAAAATATTCTCTCTATGCTGGGGTGTTCCACTCCCACCCCCTCTCCAACCCCTCCCCACTTCCTTCTCTCTCTCTCTCTCTCTCTCTCTCTCTCTCTCTCTGTTACGCTCTTGCTCACGCTCTCTGATTCGTTCTATCTCTATCTATCCATCTTTCTTTTCCTGTCTATCTATCTATCTATCTGTCTCTATCATTATCTCTCTCTCTCTCTCTTTCCCCCCTGTGAGGTTCTTCATCCCACTCGGTCTTCTCTCTTTTTCCTCCCTTCCGAGCGCATTTCCCTCCCCTAATGGGCAGGGAGGAACCCTCTCCGACCCGCGCCCCGACACCAGCTTGGGACCACCTCTTATCGATTCCTGCGCCATTTCCCGTCATTCCTGTCAAATCAATAACCTGGCGGCGGCAGTAGCGGTGGCGACGGTGGGTACCAGTGGTGGTACTCTTGCGATGGTAGTGGTGATAGTGGTAGTATGGTGGTGGAAATACTGCTGCTTCTGCTGCTGCTGCCTCTGCTGCTGCTGCTGCTAGTGGTGGTGATTGGTGGTGGTGGTGGTGGTGGTGGTGGTGGTGGCTGTGGTGGTGGTGGGTGCCGGTTCCTTCTTTGGAACGAATCAGACGTTGCATCGCGCTAAGATAGGAAAACCGACACCAGGGGCGCTGTTGGGTGCTTCGTCGCCACTCCTCGCCAAGTGAGAAAGAGAGAAAAAGAGAGAGAGAGAGAGAGAGAGGAATATACGCGCCGGGTTCGTGGGATAGATATCGCGGGCTGGACCAAAATCAGGTTGAATACTAACTCGGTCATCGAGCAACGACTCGCAAGAGACGGCCGAGTCTGTCCGTGAAAACGCGAGCGAGCAACCAACCAACCACCCAGAGCTGCCGCTGCTTAACGCTGCTGATGCTGATGCTGATGCATTGCCCATAGTTCAGCAGCCCTCGTGATGCTGCTGCTGCTATTGGCCTCCTGCTACTACTAATGCCCGTGGAAAAAGTGGTGGGAGCCCGGCCGGGAATTTCAATCCACCCAGGGCTCCCCTGCCTACCTGCCTGCCCGCCCACCTGCTTGCCTCGTGGCACTAGATTCGATTGATGGTTAGGATCTAACTTTTCCCAGGGTACCAATTTTCGAACCCTTTCTCTCTAAGGTAGAACTTACTAGTCCTATCCTCATCCTCCTCTCCTTCTACTCCTTCTTCGTATTCTTTTTGTTTCTATCTTTTTTCCTTTAGATCTCTCTCCCTCTCTCTTTCTTTCTTTTTCTCGATGAGAGTTTAACGGATCCTCTTTCCCCTTTTGGGAACCAAACTACAAGCGTAAGTTTCGATCGTCCAAGGAATTGTCAGGTTTCCCGATAGGTAGTTATATATCAACTTGAAGGTTTGTGGTCGTCTACCCATAATGCCCTTTCCTATCTATCTATATATATATATATATCCGTGCATTCTCTGTGTGAGTTGATGCAGGTGAATGTGACTATAGTTTCTGAGAATGACGCGCGCGTCATAGTGACGTAGAACTTCGACGGTGAATGACCAACGTCACACACCGTGGATCACCTATAAAATCAGCCTTCCGTGTAAACCTGCACCGAGATATCGAGAATCCAAATAACCAATAGAAACTTACTAATAAATCCATTTTCTTTTGTTATCCATTATTTTTCTATAGAATATCATACGCGATCGCGTAAAAAAACGAATAAAATTATTTTATTTGTTTTTTTTTTTTTTTTTTTTTTTTTTTAAAAAAAAAAAATCTATATTTTATTTGTTGAAGTTATACTTCTTTTCAACACGTTTCGGGAAAAAATAATGAGAGTGAATATGTGCGCGCACAGCGACAGAAAATTAATAGCATGAAGTTTGTCGGTAATTACGATGCGCGCGCACCACGATATGAAATTAACAGCATGAAGTTAGTCGCGTCATAGCCACTTAGCTTGATGTATTATTGTTTTCACGTGTTTGATACAGTTTCTGAATACCAAATTAAATTTAAAAAATGTGCAACAATCGCACCGAATCGACGACGAAATTCAAAAACAGTAATTGACGCTGTATTTAAAAGATGTTATTGAAAAAAGAAAAACAAAACACACCACGAGTGACCCACTTCTATAAATTACAAAGATCCATATGGAAAATTAAATTTTGTTACAGGATCACATGATGTCCTCCTAAAAAGTGCCACACAAAATTGTGTTAACTCATTGTACATTGTGGCTGTTATAGCTAAACCACAAACTATTGAAATATGTTGTCAAAATATTCAATCCCCATCCTAATTTGATATTTTTCTAACCTATTTCCATAGTATGAGGTGAAGTTGTAACAGCAATATAGAACATACATGAAATACACATCAAAAAGTATTTTATATATATATGTTATTATGAAAGATTAATTATTTGCTCTTTTGTTTTAGAAAGAAGTATAATTTCTAACGCGTGCGTACATAAGTGTACACACACACCCGTACTTTTTTTTCAAGTATTATTAATTATCATTATTCGAGATATATGCCCTATAAGAATACGAAAAAGCTTTCTCGATTAATGCATTAGCAAATGATATGCTGAACGTGCAATCGATTATATAACTTTCTTTCGTTAACTCAACGTTCTCTCTCTCTCTCTCTCTTCTTTCTCTCGAAGCTTCGTTTTTACCGATTATAAACGAAGCTTTCTTGATCATGCGAAAGCTTACAAGAGAGATAGAGAGAAATATATATATATATATATATATATATCTATATATATATAGAGAGAGAGAGACGATTGCGAGCTTCGAACAAAGAATTTTTTGCTCTAATAATTTCTTTTAGATATGTCAAAGGTCGATGACGGAGATTCGCGCTCGGCACGAGTTCGAGAAAGAATGCATCCTCCTTTTTGAAGAACTTCATCGATATATATATATACATATCATATGCATGTGTCTATTTTACATAAATCGAAAGGGCTCTTCGAAAAAGATTCGTTATTCCTCCCTCTTCCTCCTCCTCCTCCTCCTCCTCCTCCTCCTTCTTCTTTTTTATTTTACATTTCTAACATTTTGATCTTTTATATTAAAACAATGAAATGAAACACGATTGAATGTGTTTGATAAAAAATATAGAAAAGAAAAAAAAAAGAAAAGGAAATAAAACATGTTAAAAAATGATTCTTCGGGAACAAATCTTTGCAAGGGAAAAGTTCAAACGTACGAAAATCGTATTTTGTTCTAGGCTGTATTGTAGAAAAAAAAATAAAATAGAAAAAGAAAACACAAAAAATAACGTCGTATAAAGGTACTAGGAAATACATTTATAATAAATATGTTATATGTGTACGATGTATTTTTACCTTAACCAAATTTTTCTTCTATTACTTCTTCTTCTTTTTCTCTCTCTCTCTTTTTCTTTTTGTTCAATTTTTATTTTTTTTTTTTTTTTGTTAAGTTCCTGAGTTTGTAATTTATATTCGTTATTGCATTATTTTTTTCGTTTAATAGGTTGAAACAAAATAATTCGGTATTGTAGGCCAGAGGAGTATTACGTTAAGCACAACAAAAGCCATTTCTACGAAGCGTTGGTAGATATTTTGTACGAATTTCACGTACCCAACGTATAAAACTTTCAAGACTCTTCTCTCTCAGTGTGAGAGAAAGACAGAGAGAAAGAGAGAGAGAGAAAGAGAGAGAGAGGGTAAAACCGAGAGCACGAGGAAGCGCACTTTGCGCGTTCCACGTTCAATGGATTATTTAATGAAAAGCATTTCGCGTGGTGAACTACAACAAGCGATTCCTTACGCCCCCAAGACGATACAACGTCCTTGGGGAGGGAGGGGGAGTTGGAGGAAAAAGAAAAAGATAAAGAAAAAGAAAAGGAAAAAGAAAATAAAGAAGAAAATTCGAAAAGTTGTATACGAGTCCTTGATTATTTCCACACCCTCGTTTTCTTTTTTTACAAACATTCCAAACAACATACCTTTTCTCTTCTATTAAATTCACCGCCTATCCACCCTCCTTCCTTCTTCCCCCTCCCCCTCCACACCCCCTCGTTATATCATCATCGTCAATGATTCACATGTTTTATTTTGCGTTTTTTATATTTTATTTTTTCCCTTCTTATAAATCCTCGCGCGTATATACATATATATATATACTTTTCGTTTCTTTTTTTGGTTATTTTTCTTTTTCTTTTTTTTTTTCTTTCAATAGACAAAAATACGACGACCTAGTTTTACGTTAGGTAAACTGTTTTAACAAACTAAAGGTCAACCGTAATTGCGCGATTAAGGAATTGAATCAAGAGATTTTATAATATTATATTAATCTATAAAAAGATTGTCAATATATTAAGATCACACGAATTGTGTGATGTGTGTATGTATGTATTATTGTAATTAAGATTCACGAAAATAAATAAATGAAACAAAATTATCCAATGCAATGATAATGATCAATCTTTCGTGATAATTTAACAAATCGTAATATGAATTATAAATAGTATAGAGTAAAAAGAAAAAAAAGAAGAAGGAATCAGTAGTACGACGTAAAAATAGTGAAACAGCAGAGTTCGGCGTGCCTTTTTCTCTTTTTTTTTTCTCTTTTCTTTTCTTTTCCTTTGGTTGATAATGGTAAAATCAGTGGGGGCAATCTTAGCAGGCAATCAATTTACTTGAAAACGGGTTTCTACGTTGGCGATTGCAAGTAGATAACGCGCTTCAAAATGGAGAGGGTGCTCTCTCGAGTGTGTGTAGATAGGGGGAAAATACCACCCCTCTCCCTCTTCCCTAAAAAGGGCCAAGTTTTGTGAAAATGACTGACGGTGGGATTATCAGATCGTACAGGGAGAAGTTCCTTTTCCTCTTTAAGTATTAAGTCTCCAAGCAAGCAAGCAAGCAAGCAAGCACACCCCGTTTTCTCGTTGAACACTTTAGGCTTACATAATTTCGTGGCTGGCCGCATTAAAACCTCGTTCAAAGTTTTCCTTTCCTTTACGTCGTCGTAGTCCC